CCCCACCCTGCCCTAACAGAACCGCAACAACCCCAACATACCTAAGTATTAGCAGAGGCTTGTTAACCTCACCAGCTCTGCAGAACTCTAAGGGGAATGTACCAAACAAAGGAAAAAAAGTATCAGCAGCAAAAGTTTTTGATTATGTTAAATAATGCCCAAAGAATCCGGGACTGTGATGAAAACAACAACAACTACCACAAATGGACTCAGCAGCAGCTCACTAGAACCATTTTAGCTGTCCTAACCCTTCTGGAGTGACACACCGCCCCACTCCTTGAACCCCAAAGCACTTCTAAACACACACACAGCCCACCCTTCAACGCCATCTTTCAGCGGTGTATCATCCAGGTCTGTGTCTGAATGAGGCCAATCTCTTGTTTGAGTCTGGCCTGTTGCGGGACAAGGAAGCTTCGGCAGGCAGGACGATGTTAATGATGACAGTAAGAGGACATAATCCCATCTCACGAGTCTCCCAAAAGGCCCCAGTTCCTGGGACCCCACAACCCTCCAACCCTATCCACCTCACTCCACAGGCCTCGCTACAGACAGCTGAGCCTCGCCGATAACAGGGTTGTTTGCCAAACTGATTGTTTACTAAAATTTTCATTGTTGTTTCTAAAGTATGTTCTTCTTGCTCCTTTTGCTGTTCTTATCATGACATGGTGTAAACAATTATTATTAATAGGATTATTTTTAATGTCTCTTTTTTCCTTTCTCCAATATGAAGGATGTATGAACGTTGTATTCATTAGGCTTTGAGAGCTTGTGAGGGAGCGTTTCTTGGCAGTAGCTGCAGAAACTCAGATGTCTGCAGGCTATGTGGCTAAAGCGATCTGGCTGGCAATGCATTCAGAGCCGGAAAAAGTCCCATTGTTCAAACGGGGATGGAAGAGAACCTGGATGTTTCGACATTGTTTATAGTCAAATGTGTGGCCCACATTAAAAAAGTGCTCTGAAATTTCTGCTTATTAGCTGTAAAACATATCTCTGGTCTCTGATCAGATTCTCGCTCACGAGCACAACTTCGTATATAGCAGAAGTTTAAGAAAGTTCGTCAATTTGAAGTTCAGGTTGAAGTTGCACAAGCTCTAAGTGTGTTGCAGTTTTAATGAGTTAGAATGTTGTAGACTTGAGGACCAACGTGGAACGCTGACGTTTACCAGTATGTCTCATGATCAGCAAGAGATGTACTCTAAATGCTTAATATTTCTTTGCACTTAAACATTTCTTACAGACCTGCCCTGTTCCCACAAAAACACTTGTTTGAATCCAGTAACAGTGCCAAGTCAGGTTGTTTATCTTCCCATGTTTTAGGAGACTAGAACATGAAAACATTTTAAACAGACAAAACTTACAACAGAACAAATATTATAGGTACCAAAGGAGACAAGGTAACTATTTTTTTGATTGTAAAAACAGAAAGACGTCAACTCTTTTTACAGTTTATAGCTGAACAAGAAACAACGCATCATTGAAAACTGTGTGAAGGGCAGCAATATTAGTTCCTGCAGGCCACCAGTCTAGCTCACAGAACCTCCAGACAAAGTTTGAGAGACAAAGTCTCCGTTTGTTTCAATATTGTCACTTCTAAGCCAAGATTATTTCAATGGTTCTTCACATGTATGCATGGTAGAACCCTAAGTGAACTGTACTCCAGCATCAGCGTGTTATTCACAAAGAGGCGAGTGGGCGGCATTTACTCTATCCTGCTCTCATTCTTTTGGTCTTATTCTCAACGTTTCTGGATCAAAGACAGAAACAAGAAAGGCCAAGTTTTCATGCTTTATATTTGTGTGTAACTTACAGATGCTGTTTCTTCCATTCCAAAAGACTGATAGAAAAAAAGAAACCCATTCTGATCTTTGTGGGCTCCAGCAGTTGTTTGAGTTTAACTGGGGTTGTTTCTATAAACTAGCTGTTCATTAAAAGTGGGTGGTAGTTCTTCTGACCATGTTGCCCTAATATCTGCTCTCTCCGGATGGCCGCTGATTAAACAAGGCCACTGAGTGGATAAAGATGAGCTTGGTGTAAGTGTAGCTCCCAGTCCAGCACGCCCCTCCCTGGGGGACTCTCACAATCAAGCACATCTTTGTTCTGACCTGCCAGTGGCTTGCGCCTTTGCATCCAGTCGCCTCAAAGGGAATGGTCAACCAGGCCTTTCATGTGCCGGGGCATGTTGGGCTCTTCACAGTGCTCCTCATCCCCCTCCGCCTCCCCGAAAGCTCCCAGCTCAGTGGTGCCAGTAGAAACTCGGGTTGCACCCCCTGCTGCTGTGTCATCCCCATGCCCTGATTTTCAAAACACTCCAATGCTGTGGCTCTCTGGACCACATCACAACAAACCAAACAAACTGATGAGTCAAATCTGAGCATTCTCAGAACATACTGTCCAGCCAGGCGACTTGACTCTGCCGCTGATCCCGAGATCTTTCATCCAGTTAATCTGAGGTGTGGAAACTCATCTGAGTTAGTTCTTTAGGAAACAGGGGTAAAGCAGGAGCCATGTTAAAAAGCACATCTGCTGGAATTACTTTTTTTCAGGGAGGAAGGAAAAAAGGCATGCTTTCTCACCGATGTGGCATTTTTAAATCAGAAAACAAGCTTTTAACAGCTTTAAAGAGCCACAGGGTCATGCACACATGAATAAAAATAAAAACATAAATGACTGTTCACACCTACACTTAAAAGGAACAAAAATTGCAGTTTTGGGTTTCTCTGTCTGCAATAACCTATCCGGGGATGCCCCTTTCAACTTAGCATATAAGTGTCAGGTTACCTACAGAGCTAGACAAATTTGACAGGACTGGAAATCTCATAGACATGTTCACACATGCCACCCTTTCAGATGAAGTACAGGTCAGTGTTTGAGCCAGTTCAGATGGCATTCACTCCACCTCTGAGGCGGGTCAGTTGTACAGTTATTGTATATTGAATTATCAGGACTCTGGGTTTTACGCGACCCTCGTGTTTTTAAGAGACCTCTTAGTCCTCTTCACAAAAAGAATGAAAAGAATTCAAAGCATTACATTGTGTACATATGGATTAAACCATTTCAAAGGGTATCATAAGGTGCAAATGTATATTATTTAAAGTGTTTAAAACAATTAGACTGTGGTATTAAAGGGCATGTGTTCATTTACAGTGTCTCCGTTTGACTTTTCTTGCATATTTGCGATAATAAAAGGATGTACTGTATATCTGATGAGTGTCTAATTGCTCTCATGTTGTTGCATTAACTTTAAAAAAGGAACAACCAGGCTTAGTTTTAGTAGTTACCACTGCTGTGCAGCTCACTTTTGCATGCACTATTGGTGATCTATAGAAGCGTTTATCACAGATAATGCCAGCTTGAACCATGTAAATATGTATGTGGCTGTTATATTCAGTAGGTTGATCTCTCTGTCCTGTAATTGAACTGATGAAACCTTATAAACAGCCTACTGTACCCACGCACATGTGGGAGGAGGGTCGTCTACAGGGCTGAATTCAGATCAGTGGGCTATAGCTCCAGAGGGACTGAGGAATAGCCAGAGATCTTGAAAAAACCAATATGCTCCCAAACTCCAATATTTTGCACTGAGTTAAACAGTTTGGTCTTTTCAAAAATGCTTCTGCTTAATTAGCAGCAGAAACCTAGGGGGACTTTTCATAGTTGAGCGCAGCAGCGCTTGACTCAGTTTGTACTTAACGTGCAATGTTAGAAATGGAAATGAAGCAGGCTGAATTAGTAGTTGACTTTGGTAAAACCGTCTTGCTACATTTTAACAGTTTAGTTAGAGTGAGGCATCAACAGAGGGAACATATTGCTGAGTTATTAAGACATTTTAGAGTAAAATGTAAAAAAGACTCCTACATAGCTACAGACATTTTATTATGTATGAAATTAGAGTAAAACAAAAGAAGAAATGGACATGTCAGCATCTGCTCAGTTTAGTAAACAGCTTATTTATTCCTTTACAAAATAGGTACAAATACATAAGTATAGTTTTGTTCACACAAACAGGAAATTTTCAAGATATGTACAAGAGTTTACCAAAAATAACGTGGTTCTAATAAACACATAGTTTTGTAAACAATATTTACAAATCATCCTTACATTGAAATGTTATTTCTCCCATCTGTTTAGATCATTAATATTGTCCTAACATTTTGGCTAAAAAGCTGTAGTAGTAGTAGAAATGCCCTCCTGTGAAACCACCAGAAACCATAGAAATCACTAATAAAATCATTTGAAATCACCACAATAGATATTGTTGTGCTTGTTTTTAAAACATGGTATTTTGGAGATAAAAGTTATGAAAATGCATTAAGCATAAAAGCCAATCCAAAAAAAAGAAAATATATTACTTGTTAAAAATAAGTGTCTTGACATAAGTTGGCAATACCGTTTACTACTTAAAAGAGTAACTCCTTTGCTATAATACAGTGACAGCTTTCAGTTGTCAGATAAAATAGATTAAAAAAGTGCTGTCAAAATGTACAATGCACAGCAATTGTTTCAAATGTCACCCATAATTAAATAAATTTCAATATGACAAGAAAAGCTGCATAGAGGCCAAGATATTTAGTTAAATAGAAAAAACATGATGGACAATATTACATAATAACAATTTGTAAAAAAAAAAAAACCCAAAAATAAACAAAAAACAATAATAATAATAACAAGGCGGCAATGCAACACAACATGTAAAAAGCAGGTGTTTTGTCTTATTCTTCTCTTCAATCAGTAATACAAAAACAAAAACTCAATTTTAGGCTGGAATCAACTGTTTCCTGCTACAGTTAAACAATACTTTACAGCTGTATGATTAAAATACAAACAAGTGCTGTGGACATAAACTGCTTCATCGACAACCTTTGTCATTCAGTCATTACCAAAGCAGGTGGGGGCTCCGGGGACCCACTAGCAAAATGGAGAATAGTTGAAATGTAACTTTTTCAAAGGTTAGTAATGTGCAGACAGGACAGTGAGAGGAAAAGATAATGGAATGTTTGTGCTGAGTGTTTAATCTCATCAACACTTACCTTCTAAACAAGTTAAGTGTTTGAAGAAGTGAGCATGATAGTACAAAACTTACACACATCTAGCCATACAAACAATGTTCACATTATGTGTGGGCAAGAAAAAAAAAAAAGTGACTCACTCAACAAGGGTGACCAATCAGAAACTGGTGTCATAGTGCGACCATGATTTAGTTTAATGACCTTTGTAGAAGGGTCATGAGGACAAACAAACTGTCTGATTTTGACAATTCAAAGCACATGGTTTTATAAAACATCAGGTTTAATAGTATTGACACGGGTTATTCCTTTTCTTACAAAGCTAATACAAATAAAAATATACATGCTGTAAAATAATTCAAAAAGAACTATTTACACATACAGTAAGGAAACATTATGCTGTTATTTGGAATCTATATGTTTCAAAAGGGTGTCTCGGTATACAAATCAGTCTCTTTATTAGTTATTGAGTTCAGCTAAACTAAAAATTCATTGAACTATGTTCAACAAATAGCTCGTGGATAATATCGTAGGCTGTATAGAGGTGTGAACATAATTCTCTTGGCCAAAAAAATCATAACTTTGAGGTTGTTCATTGAAGCTACTGCCAACGACATCAAATAAATAGCTACCCAACATACATGGAACCAGTTCTGGGTCAAGTCGTGCGACACAAAAACAGCTTTGTTCCTTTGACAAATTCAACTTCAAGACAAAGAACATGATATGGCCTTTAAACTGAATAATCTAAACACACACAGTGAATCTAAACGGAGAAGACACGGAACAACAGTCTTATTTTTGTACGTTTTTTTGTCTCTCTCAGTCTCTCTTCCTATTAAAAGCTACATCAAACGTCACTACAGTACATATGGAGACACAGAGTTGAAACATTAGACCTGATCTGAAGGCACGTGGCTGGGAAGGAGGAGGAAGAGGAGGAGGAGGAGGAGGAGGAGGTGGGTGCTGAGCAGAGCACGGGCTACTTCAGCAGGGCACGGTAAAGGAGGAGGGAGTGGGCGGTCTCTCTCTCCTGCTCCATGTAGAAAATTAAGTCCCTGAGGTTGACGCGAGTGATGCGTTGCCGTGTGTACTGGCGCGATGACGTGGATGGGGTGGAGGAGCTGGCCAAGGAACCCGCCGTGCTGCCTGAAACCTGCAGACACAGGAAGGGGTCAAAAGGTGAGATAGGGCTCCTTCACATTTTACATTTACAAGTCCATAGTTTTTGAAGATTGATATAGCTTAACTTATTAATTAATATACCACGACAGTGATGCAACCTATTTCCAGTTTGTTTCCAGTAACAGGAACAACGTTGTGCTTGGAATAAACAGAACACCCAGGTAGATACTGTGAACAGGGATAATTTCAAAGGCAGAGCATACAAACGGAAAAGGCACCATTCATGTAAAATGAAACAGCATCAACAAATGTAATAATGTAACTGTAAGTAACTTAAGTAACTTTTTAAACTTCTTAAAGATGGTCACTGATATTCAATTCTACAGCTGTTTGTAGTTTTACACGTAATCAACAAATGAACATTTATAGTTCAGGACCTTTAGCAACATTTAGCTACGCTAGCGGCATGGCTCTAGGGATGGGAATGTCAGTCAAAACAACATTGAATGGATTCCCATAAATTGTGTACAGATAGTTGATAGTCCTAACCTTTCTATTAGTGCCATCATCTGGTCAAATTTTCAGTATATTCAGTATTTTTAGTTATGACTAAATGTTTGCAAAACTAATCACATTCCCATCAGCCTCAGCTGCTGATTATCACTTGTTAACATGCTAACAAGCAAAACTAAGGTGTTGAACATGGCAAACATTATACCTGCTTAGCAAGAGCATTTAAACACTGTCCTCATGTGCATGTTAGCAACCTGATGTTAGCCTTTAGCTGAAAGCACTGCTGTGCTTAGGTACAGCCCCACAGAGCTGCTAGTAGGGCAGTAGCCATACTCTTCCAAAGCTGTGTACGAATCCTAAAATTAATCATGGCAGGAGGAGAGTATCAACCTCTGAAGGTGCTTGATATTAATTAACATTCCAATAATGATCTTCGGCAACACACTGATCCCACTGCACTCCAATTGCTTGAGTGTACTGACTTCATTCATGACAATGTGACTTTTTAGGTGAGCTGAAAATAAAATCATTCAATCATCAGAAACATCAAATGACTGCTTTTTTTGTTTGGGTTTCATTAACCTTATTTTCTTCTCTATAAATGTTTGTTTTGCATTTTCTCTTTCAGGGAATTTGTCCTCACTTTGTCATTAGTGAAGAAAAAGATCTGTTTCTGTGTTGTGGTCAAAGGTGAAACAGTAACAGTTCAGAAGAAAGCAATTCTATGATTCCCATAGTCCCATAAATGAGGTTGTTGTTGTTGAACACATTGACAGAATCAATAGCAAGGAATGCTGTGGCCTCTAAGAATGTATACACCTCCAATTAAGAAAAATAATCCCTCTTGGAGAGCACGAATGAGATCAAAAACATGCACTAATAATGTCCAGATCTACAGGTGCAGCAGTGTTTAGAGATTTTTTACTTCAACTAGCTGAACACGAGGCTGAGAGAAACATCAGTGACGCGCTCCGACGACGGAGAGGGAAACTATCATTTTAACTTGTGTGTTCTATGGCTCTTTACATCCCCCTGAATATGAACAGATTTCCCTGCTGCTGACATAGATCTGAGCTGATGTCCCACTCTGAAATGAAGCACTCGTTGTCTTTATTTGATCCAGGAAAAATGAGAACGATAAAAAAAAAAGGGAGTGTATACAGAGGCTGACACAAGTCAAGAGATGCATTTACATTTGGAAATGAGAAACACTGGGAAACAAATCCAGCAAGTGCCCACTTGAACCCAGGCAGAGAGAAATAAGACAGACATTTCAGTCAGGAACACCCTCTCACAATTACATTGATTGCACCACTCTGTAAACACACGGTACATACAGGCCTTAATTGCAAACACATGATGAGTATGAATTTACAAGAACCAAACCAAAGTCCCTCCAGCACCCGCCCCCTCATATGCTTGTCTTTGTGTGCAGTGTATGATGGTGCTTTGTCTCAAATTTCCTTCAGTACACTCTTTGACCCCTGGATGCTGGATGATGAGTGAGGGTAGCCAGGCCACTGTTCTTGCCAACATCCGCCTGCCACATCTACAGTCTTTGGCATCAGGAGCACCGGGAGAATTCGCAGTGTCAGGCAAGTGAGTTTTTTTCCTCTGTACATATGATCCCATAGATTCATGTGTGTTTTTTCCAACAAAATATATTGCGTGTAAAAGTACCTAATATGTGTCTCCTTGGATTTCACTGTTTGTTTTAGCAGAAATTCCCTAACTGTGACGAAACAAGTAAGACTCTGAGGTCTATTCTGTATGTCTGAAAGTAGCTTCACATGGCTGGATAGCTCTGACTACCAGCTCTATGTCGATGTCCTTGCATTTTCTATTTTTTGCGCCCTCACTCCTGGGAAAGTCAGTTCTGATGTGTAGCTACCCTTTAAAAATGCAGAATGAAATAAATAAATGAGGAAATGTCAGGTGCAAAACAAAGAGGATTGTATGTGAATAATGGAAGTGCAACTGACTAACTCTAGAAAACTAATTTGGATGTCTGTTGAAGCCGTTTTTGTTATTGGCAATCGGTTATTGTGTTACTGGCATAAACAATGAACAGAAAAACACATTTCAACAAAATGGCTACAGAATACGCTGTCTTTTGGAATTTGGCCTTGGCTGATGTTAGATTCCCAGCATAAATTATTATTCCCAGTCCGGCCCTGTTCTCTGGTCAGTAATGCTGTCATGCTGGGAGGGCTGTGGGTTGAGGTGCAAGCGGGTACTGCCTGCTCCCCGGCATCCTGGGGCACACCAGACCCTCACGTTGGGGAGCGACCCCGGCGTAATCAGGTCATTCATGACTGACCACATGTGAAAGATGGGCCTGCCTACTGCCATGCCAATTACTGCCACTCACAAGTAAGCCTGACGACAGGGCCACAGATTTTACAAATCAAAGCCATCCGTCCACCTGGACTGATGGGCATTAGTAGCCAAAGGCACTCAGTGCTGGGGTGGTCACAATGGTTGATGGTGGGGAAGAGGGAGACAGCGAGTATAGCCAGATATCACTGCCTAGGTAGTGTGCCACAGTTCCCAGTATGCCTCATTCCCTTCAGGGACAGGGGCAGCCTTAAGTGATCCAAATACAGGCAGAAAGGTCAGCGCTTGTCCAGGAATTCTCTCAACGCAGCCTCTCCTCTACCCTCTGTCTTTATATGCCCTCCACATGCCAGCAACCCAAACACCGATATGTTGTTGTTGGTATCTATGGAGACCAATCCCTCTCGCCAGTACATGCAGGAAATCATGTTGTGGAGGAGGGAGTGCGGATGGGAGGGGTAAACACCAACACCAAACAAAGCAGATGGCTGAGTGTCAGTTAAAAGGGAAAGCAAGACATCAACAACCACGCTTTCCCTGTCGCCCGCAATTACACAGCAATTGTGTCTGAAATTCACTGAAAAACAAAATGGCAGGCTTTGTAAGGTCACGGTGGATGAAAAGAAAAAGTGAGAAGAGAAAAGCAGCACAGAGAGAGAGAGAGAGAGAGAGGGGGAGAGCAAAACTGAAAGTCTCAAAATCAGCTTGGCCAAGAAAGATCCATGAGGCAAAAAACAGCATCTGTCATTTTATCTGTGACGGGCGCTTGGAGGCATTATGTCATATGACATATCCATCGTACAGAATGCGCAGGGATACTTCGATACATCTCTTCAGACATTTGACTTGTTTGGAGCGGGGGACAGAGAGAAAACACAGAGAGAGAGTGCAGTGCATAGAACCTGAGGAGAGGAGAGGAGAGGAGAGGAGAGGAGAGGAGAGCTTGTCTGTAATAAGGCCTCTTTGCCGGCTCTGGTCTTCAGCCACATTCTGTTGACATACATGACAACGTGCCAATGGGCCAGACACATTATTTCACACTATTTCACTCTTCCACGGTTTCCCGCACACACATGTTCTTGCACACAAGAGCAGAAAGAGCGAGCCTGAGTGTGCTTGTATAGCTGGCAATTAGTATAATAGAGTGCAGTATCTGGAAAACAATCCAATAGAATAAAATACAGAATAAAGGAAAAACAGAAATATGTGACAAATTTCGCCCGTGCCCATTCTGACATGGGAAATTTCAATAACTCCTTGTGTGCATAAACTTACATAAGATTTATAAATGATCCAGCTACGTGTCAAGAGTAATGTAGGTGTAATATTAAGCAACTTTAATAAGGTTACTTTTAAATGATGGAACTTGGCAATAATTGAGATCTTATCCACAATAATTAATAAGAAGGATAAGGCTAGCGTTATTCTAGCGTATTTTTCTTATTGTCTACAAAATTCCAAAACCCTATACAGGGCAACATGTAAGCCCACATGTTCCTACTGAAGATGTTACTCTAACAAATACCTGTAAGTGTTATTATGTGCTTTTGGAAGGACTGGGCCTCCATGTTTGGACACCTCGTCCATTGTTGAATACATCTATGACACTCAGAGGCACAGAGGAAATCTGAATTTTTTTAATAGGAGGACAAAGCCAGCAGGTCATGTTCAAGGTTGAGAGGACTAAAATGAATTCCCATTTTGCTAAATTTACTTTTGATTAATAATGTATGTTTTCATCCTCTCTCTCTCTGCTTTTAATTCCCTGTCTCCAATTGTGCAGCGGCAGCAGTGGTGCTTGTAGGTGTCTTGAGGAATTTACATTCAGTCCTTTATTGTTTGAGAAGGGAAAGAGGGGTGAGGCAGGAGCGGTGGTGGGGTTCTTGCTGATCTGTGGCTTTGAACCCTGAGTGGCACCTGTGCCTTGATGCCGAAGCCAATATTGGATTTGGCCCAGGTCACACCTTAGGGCGGTGGGTTAATGGCCCGCTTTGCCAGGCACACAGAGCTGATCGGCCCTGCACAAGCCAACCTGCTGTCTCAGCACTCCACTCCTCACAGCAGAAGTTGCAGATGGGCTGCATGGTAGAACAACACACACGTGTACAGTATGTACCGGTATGTGGCAGCACCCTAGCTAACATACTGTGTTCACCAAAACTGCGGGGGAAACATTGCTCA